AGGAACTGGGGCAGGGAGTGCGGAGGTGAACATGGAAATTTAAGGAAGACATCAGGGTTGGGCTTTCTGCCTAAAGGGACACACCAGGAGTATAAGTGAAGACAGTATAGGGACAGTGAGAGAGGACAGGAACTAGATCAGATCTTGAGGATGCTCAGATGTGAAGGGAGGCGGAGGACTCTCTGTGAACTGATTTAGCAGGATTCCTTGCTGAGACTAAGCAGTACAGTTCTGGTAGGGACAAGGCAGGGGGTCAAAGCCTTGGCCTAATAGAAAAGTACAGAGGAACCTGACCAAAGTGTGGAAAAGGAGGGTCTTGGACACTGGATCCAGCCCCTCAGTGAAGGTAGGAAGGGAGGCAAGGGCACTGTAGAGAGGACAGGGTGGCCCTCAGAGACCTCTGAACTCTAGCCCCAATATTCAGGAGTCCATTGAGCAGGACCTAGGCAGGGCAGGAGTCACAGTCTGTGACACTGTATAAAAGGAGCTAAGGTTCAGAGTTATACAACACAGAGAGGCAGGGACCAGCCTGTGAGTTGGACAGGACCTCTGATCACCCAGGGATTGATCTTGCAAGAGGATTGCTCAATTCAACCCAGCCAGCCTTGTGGTGTGAGCCTGGGAGCTAAGACCTAGAGAGATTGGGGCGGGGGCGGGGGGACACCCGGCTGACCCAGCCAGCAGCCTGTGTCCCTGAAGTCCTCTCCCTATGCCCCTCCCCTGGGCTGTGGTGCATCAATCATTGGATCTGTTATATAAGTAAACTGTGCAAGTAGGAGGCAACTTATAGTCAAAATCACCAGAGCAAAAATTACCAGAAGGGAGTCTGGAGAGATGCCTCAGCAGTTAAGAACACTGGTTGCTCTTGCAGAAGACCTGGGTTCGAATTTCAGCACCCACATGGTGGCTAACAGCCGTCCATAACTCCAGTTCCAGGGGATCAAACGTCCTCTTCTGTCCTGCACAACACAGGTACACAGCAGGCTTAGCACACGTACACATAAAGTAAAATAAAACATTTAAAAAAGAAAAAAAACTACCAAATTCTCTTCCCTCCTAGGAAGTACAAAACAATCTGATGGCAAATACCAGGCACTGCACACCCACCTCTCCCTTCGGGGGCTGCATCATGGCACCAATCCTCACTCTAGCCTTAAACCTGAAGTGGGCACGTCGTCCTGGAAGCGCCCCATGTCACCTTGAGCAGGAGGTCAGGAGAGGGAACAAGGGAGAAAGTGTGACAGTGTGTGCACAAGGGACCTCAGAGCTAAGCCCCAAAGAACCCCCAAGTACTCCCCAGGGAGGCCACCTGTGACGACTACTCTAAGTAGCTTAGACACATTAGTTCTGACAGCTCAAACCTCAGATGTTCAAAATCTCAACTCTTGGCCTGTTTGATCTGGTCTCCTGCAACTTTAGGTAATGTCTTATTTGTTTGGTCAGCTTTTTACTGTAGTATCACTTCACACCCACTATTTTTTTTATTTGTGGTACTTGGGGTAAAACTGAGGACTTCACAAATGCTAGGCAAACATTTTACCACTAAGCTACATCTCCAGCCCTCTTTCCATTTTTTTTAAATTTTTCAAAAATTTATTTTTATTTTATGTGTATGTGTTTTGTCTGTATGTACGTAAGTACACCTGTGCGTGCAGTGCCCACAGAAGCCAGAGGAGAGCATTGGATCCCCTGGAACTGGAGTTACAGCTGGTTATTAGCCAGTATGTGGGTTCTGGGAACCGAACCCAGAACTTGTTGCAAGTGCTTTCAACCACTGAGCCATCTCCCCAGCCCCCTTCTTTTCACTGTGTTTTGAGATAGGGTCTCACTGTATAGCCCAGACTACCTTTGAAATTTGTATCCTCCTGCTTCAACCTCCTCAGCAGCTGGGATTACTGGCTTGTACCACCAAGCCCAAGGAACACCCCTTGAATATTGAATATTATAGATCATTTCTATCACTCCCTCGTCGTATTTCTTGCTCTAATTTAGATCAGGAAACCAACAGCCATGCAGACAGAAAACACAGCTCCCTGAGTCTTCCTCTGTCAAAAAGGGAGTCGTATTCCTCCCTTGGGCAGGAAGATTCCTGAGGCTACATGCTCAGCCACTGTTTCCTGTTTCTACCAGGGTATCAGTGGCTTAAGCTGAAACTATAGGCTGCCAGACTCAAGACACCACAGAAGCCTGCTCATTGCTACTTGCCCTAAGACGCCACCCTCTACCGCCCCCCACACCACCCCAGCCACTTACAGCCCCAAATGTGTTAATGAACCTTTGCCTGAGGCCTTATCCTAACCTTTCACATCTTACTGCATCCAATTGGAAGTGGTACTTGCAGCTCTTGACAGTGCCTTGTGGTGGTGCCTGTCCCTTGGGAATTACCGATGCCACTCTCAGGACACCTGACTCTCCAGTGAAGCCTGGACCAGACTCTCAGCAGAAGATGACAGTGTGATCACACATACCAGCACACGTCAATATGCACATGACTTGTCTCTTGACATACACCCAACCTAGTCCACCCTGGGCTTCCTCCTTCCTAGCGACAAATGACAGGGTAGGAGGTTCCTCCTGTTGTGACTTACCCTACTCAGAACAATGGCCCTGAAAGGGAAGCTCCTGAAGAATCCATTTTCTGCCCAGCATTCTGCCCAGAGGGACCTAACTAGATGTAGCCATCTCTTTCCTGGCTTTTTATGTCCACTACCTCTTTCCTGTTTAGTTAAACAGGTAAATACCATGTGCAGCTGTTTGAAGACCCCTGCCTCAGTGACTGGCAAATGCTTTCCTTATAACAGCTGGTTTACCTACCTGGGCAACGTGATTATTCTGGATCTTATAGTAGGTTTAGATGGTGGCTGAGCACAAATACTTATTAGGAATATTTTTCTTACCTGTTAGATTCCTGCTGATCAGCCCCATCTATAACCAGCCACTAGGCCACAGCAGGGTGGGGCTGATGCTGGGTGACCAAAGCTTACCACTCCCAACACAATCCCTTTTAGGTGACCTTTAAGTGCCTCCCAGTGTTTTTGGCAAAACCTGCTACCTTCACTAGGAGGTCATTTGTCAGAGCATCATTTTCAGGCACAGTGGGTGGGGTTGAGAGAAGAAACAAAGTCATATATCTGCATAGAACTAAACTCCACTCCTGAGGCCATATGTGAGCCAGGCCTGAACTGTCCTGAGCTGAGGGCTATGTCACTCTACACGGTATCCAACTGACCTCTGCCTGGGGAATAAAAGAACTAACAATCAGATTAAGGAAACAGTGCAGGGGAGCCTCACAATGCTGCTGCCCCAAAGGCCAGAGACTGCATGATCTGTTTATAGGAAACCCAAGAGCGACTGGAAAAATGAGTCTCCAGGGACAGACAGACTGGCAAGGGCCCAGTGGGTAAAAACAGTGACATCCAAGGCATCAGGGAATTTTCTGGAAGGACACATGTTCTAGATTTGTCTATACTCACTAAAATTCCTCAACACATATGAAATAGCACATTTATCATTCCTAGAATGTTGTTAAAAATTAGGTAAGCATTCCAAGCAGGGGACAATATACCAGAGTCACAGTGGGGCTCCCTAAGCAAGGCAACAAGAACAGACCATGTGCTCTGACTTTAATCCTCAGTTGCCTGCCCTCTCACATGCTTTGGCCCTAGAACCCACATAGTGTCCACAGAGCTACCAGCATGGGTGACCCGGCCCTACCCCTTCCCTGCTCTAACTCCCTCTGGTGCTCCTGGTTCCCAGAATAGGCAAGCCCTTTTGTACAGGTCTAGGCAGACTCCTTATCCTTTTAAATCCCAAAGAGACTTCCCGACCAGTGTCCAGTAGCACCATCACTCCCTCTTCCCTATCTCACTTCAAGGCAGCATTATAATTGATCTTAATTATTGATCACCCCCAACACCATCACCAGCACCAAAATTAAAGCTTAACTGGGCAATACCAGAAGCTACAACACAGGTAGCTATGGGATGTGGGAAATGGGGCCAATCTAAATGGTTATCTGTCCCTAAATGTTACAGATAACTCACAGAATTTAAAAAGGAGGGAGGGAGGAAGGGAGGGAGGAGGGAGGGAGGGAGAGAGAGAGAGAGCTCTCCATCTGAAAGGTCAAATAGAACATACTGTGAAACTATTTCATGTTTGTACTTTTTAATGTATCTACTGGAAAACTTGAAATACACACGGATTCATGTTGCATCTCTACAGGGCAGAGCTACAATGTCCCTTCCGGGGTCCAGGTCTCAGTCACCTATGTTGTCTCCAATCCCTAGAATTGTCTGGTCCAGGAAGCTCCCTGGGGAGGTTTCTTTACGGATAATGAATAATGAGTCGTAGTTACTCGGAATCCAGCCCCCCCGCCCCCGACCACCAAAGGTTCACTTATGTTTGGCAAAGTGTCCCAGGACAGGGTCTGCAGGAACCTGAAATACCAGCCCTGCTCAGGGCATTTCCAGATAGTGACTCACAAAGGCTGAACTAGAAGGCTGAAGACCCAGGAGATTAGACTGGCTGCCTTTTTCGCTTTCTGGAAAAACAAAAGTCCAGATATCAACTGGCTTGCGGGGCGGGGGGGGGGGGGGGGATATGTCCAGAAAGCAATGACTTCTCAGACTTGGTAGAGCTCAAGAAGTTGAAGACGTAGAGTAAGGGGAAGTTGTGGAGGAGGGCCATTCACGGGAGAGCCAAGAGGAGCAAGCAGGGCGCCTAGGGTGGAGGAAGGGACTGAAAGGAAGGGCGGAGCTGGGTGGAGAGGGGCAGAGAGAGGGAGCTGGCCAGCACCCGGCGGAGGGGGCAGACCCAGGCAGGGCTGGAAGAGAAGGCTAGAAGGAGGGGAGACTGAGGAAGAGAGCAAGGCAGGAAGAGAAGGGAGGGAAGAAGAAGAGGGGCGGTGGCAGCCGGAAAAGGAGGAGCCTGGAGAGGAGGGCTGCGCCTGTGCCTCCCCCCACTTCCCCCTCCCCCCCACCCCGCCCGGCCCCCGAGCGCGGGCGGCCGCCGTATAAAAGCCTGGCTTCTGCCCTAGCAGCTCAGACTACACAGCTGGAGGTTGCCTGGCATCTCTAACCCCACATCCCAGCCGACCATGGCCAGTCCCCGGCGCGCCCCGCTGCTGTTGCTGCTGACCGTCCTGGCCATGGTCTTGGCCGTGAGTTCTGCGGCCGGCGGGAGCCCACGGCAGGGGAAGCGCAAGTTGGGCGGCCTGGAGGAGGCCGATGTCAACGAGGAGGGCGTGCAGCGCGCCGTGGACTTCGCCGTGAGCGAGTACAACAAGGCCAGCAACGACGCGTACCACAGCCGCGCCATACAGGTGCTGAGTGCCCGGAAGCAGGTGCGTGTTCCCCCGCTGCGCTCTGCCTGGGCCCTGGACCGCTGCCGCCCTGGCGCCCCTGGTGGAGGCAGGGTGGACAGCCTACGCTGATGCTCCTCCCAGGAGCAGTTCTCAGTCTTTTATTTCTCTGATTCTCAGCTTGTTTCCAGGATTTCCCCCTCTGGTTTAGCCTGGAGCCCAGACAGGCGCTGGAGTTGGTACCTAGTCCCCTTAGTTCCGTTTCTAAGTGTCCACTAGGCAGAGACACACGCCAAAGATGTAAATCAGATTCCTCCGATCTTAGGACCCTACCACCAGCCGCCTGGGGGTCGGTATGAACTGCTAACTAAATGACCAGGGAGGACAGCAGACCCCTCAGTCACCCTGACTGAATAAGCACCTTATAACTTCTTACTGTAACATAAAGGCAGATTTCTAGAGCAGCTGCAACCCTAGCTCAGCGTCTAGACTCTTCTCCCCACCCTTCCAGTGTTACATTCCACATGTGTTTCTGGTTGTGTGTTTATGTGCATTTTTTAATGCTTTAAGAGTAAACACTTTAGGGTGTATTTCCAGCAAACAAGGGTGTTCTCTACATGCCCAAGATTCCATTTGGAAAACTAGGAATCAACGAACACACTCAGTTCCTTCACCCACAAACTCACTCAGTTTGCTGATGTCCACTGTGGACTCTCCAGGCATGCGCTGTTGTTCCTGTCTGGTCAGTCAGCCTGCTTTCCTCTGAGCAGCTCCTGCCCGGCTTTGTTGACTTTGGTATTGAGGCCAGCCAGCTGTGGTGAGGTCATATGCCATATGATGAAGTTCCCTTTAGCCGTAGACTGCAGGGTGTGTGGCAATGGTCCCCTGAGATGAATGACCTTGTGATGCTGTAGCCATCAGCATGTACATATGCTTTATGATGTGCCACAGTGTCCCTGAGGAGTATTTCTCAGAAGTTCCCCCACATCCTTAAGGGACACATGACTATGTAGACTGGTATGGTGGTCAAATGTTCCTTCAAGGTTGATGCAAGTACCATCAGGCTTTCCTGAGGGGCCTTGCTTCCCTCTAACTGATGGCCTTTGTGTATCCCTGGGAGCAACCTCAAGGGGCTGGTATCCCCACCCCAAGACTGCAAACCTTGGCCAATAGCCCTTCACCCGCTGAGTAAACAAGTGGGAGACTCAGGCAGCAGCATACAGTCAGTTCTCGCCAGATAAAGTGAACTATTAGTCAGGGATGAATCAGCATCTAAGGGTTCCAGGACCCCCAGGATTGACCCAAAGGAGGTCTAGAATTTAGACTACAAAAGAGTTGTGCACTAGTGTGTAGAGCTCATTTCTGCCTCCACAGATGAGTCAAGACCAGCCCCTGCTGCTATGGTCAGTTGGTAGCACAAACTTCGAAAAGTCATACGCTTCTAGGCTGCAGTGGCCGTTGCTGGCCTGTGCACCTCTCCAGTCCAGCATTACATAGAGTGAAGCTAGGGAGTTAGAGGTCCTTTGGTCTGTGAGTCGCAGGTAACAGGTGAAGAAAACCAGGACCAAAAGAATCAAGAGGCTTGCTCCTGGTTCCACAGCATAAGAGCCCTGTCCCAGGTTCCTCAGCCTGACCACGTTTCTGACAAGTTGGGTCTGGGATGCATGTGTAGGGAAAGGGCTAAATTCTCTTCATAAATTTCCAAAGAAAGATATGCTGGTAAATTACTCACTTGAATAGTCCCATGGACAATCACACTGAAGGAAGAGGACCATTTTCCCTTTGGTGTATGGAGCAGTCCATACCCTTCTGTCCATTGAGGGAAGGAGTCTGGGTAAATAAAAGGAATGGGTTCTCTCTGGGCTGCACACAGTGAGAGATTCCGCTAAAGGTTACAGTCTGTGGCCTTTCTACAATGGAATACTGTCTCGGCTTTCTGAGCCTCCGTCAGCAGGACTGAGTTAGTTCTACTCTGCAACCCAGAGCCTTTGCTTGTGCTCAGAGCAGCCCTGGGCTCCTAGAACACCTTGGCTGTCTCCCTAGAGCTAAGCCTTATCTTCCTGAGTCCACTGAAGAGATTGTTAGTCCCTGGCTTTTTCTTCTGTGCCTCATTTCTCCTCTTACTCAGCTACCTATGACATCTTGTCAGAGTTCCTCAGAATAAAAGAAGTTGCTAGCAGGGCCTGAGGCTACTTGTCTGGAAGAGTTGGCTGGTGTCCTCTGTGGGTGAATGTTCTGGCAGTTAGTCTGTGCAGGCGGGAGCCCTAGGTAAACACATTAGCTCTGTAATGTAAAGTAACTGCCTGCATGTGAACTTGGCTAGAGTGCTGTTAATGAATCCTGCTCTTTTCACTGTAGATCGTGGCTGGAATAAACTACTATGTGGAAGTGGAGCTAGGCAGAACTACATGTACCAAGTCTCAACCAAACTTGGCTGACTGTCCTTTCCATGACCAGCCCCATCTGATGAGGGTATGTACCTGATATGGACCTGGGGCCAATCATGCAGGCAAAGGGTTGGTGAATATCAGTTTGTGTGTAAGTGTATGGATGTGTTTGGAAAGTCTGTGCAGGCAGATAGGAAAGTGTGTGTGTGTGTGTGTGTGTGTGTGTGGTGTGTATGTAGGGAGAGTGGTGATTCAGATGGGTACAGGTGGATGTGGGGCACATGTAGTTCATGCCAGTGCAGACCTGTGCTCATGTAGGGTCGGGGGAGGGGTATATGTGCACATGATTAATTTAATGGCTAATTGATTTTACCCTGGGAGTTGGGGTACTGGGAGGAAAATTCTCCTTTTGGACTAGAGGAGGCAGCTCTAGGGATCCTTGCTAGGGCGAAGGGCTCTGTTTGATCCCAGCCAGGACCACCTTCCTAGACCACACTAAACAGAACAGAGCCTAGTAAGTGTTTGAAGCCCTCCCATGCCTCTTCCACTGAGCCCCCAGGCTCTCTCTGGATGGGACTAGTTCTTGTGAATGACTTTGTTGATAGCTACACTCCCCTTACCACCCTGCACCTTGCCACTTTCAGGGGTGTGTCTCATGGCCCTGCTTCCTCCTAGTGCTCCTCTTAGTGCTGGCCTGGATAGAGCCTTTTCCAATGCCCTGACCTCCAGGGCTCTCATGCCTTACATAGGCTGCTCCTTAGCAGGCTGTGCTGGAGCAGAGCGTAGGGAACCCTTGAACCAGGAAAGGGAACACATTGGGAGACTGGCAGCAATGGGAGGGGGCATGAGCACACTGAGCAAAGGTAGGCTGGCATCCTGGGGTGTCCCAGGGGTTTCAGAGAAAAAGTCCCACCTCCGTCACTCCACACTCGGATTCCATCATCTTGGGCTGGGTACTGTTTTAACTCTAACCCCATGCTGATGTTCCTCTCTGTTGCCTTTTGCAGAAAGCACTTTGCTCCTTCCAGATCTACTCTGTGCCCTGGAAGGGCACACACTCCCTGACGAAATCCAGCTGTAAGATTGCTTGAGGTTTGAGCCCAGTAGGGAAGTGCAAACCACCCCTTACTCATACCCATTCCCTGTAGTTGCCTGTCCCTCAGAGGGGTGCTCCATCTTTGGAGAACATCTCTCTGGCGTGCCAGCAGTAGTAGACAGTAAAGATGGCTACTGCAGGCAGGTTCTTCACATCTGAATGGCTATCTCCTGGATACTTTCTTCTCCTTGCTTTTGGGATGCAAGGTATCTGAAGGATACAGCATGTTCATACCTTACTCAATAAAAAAGTTCCTTTGGCTCCTTCTGAGTTGGTTCTGTGGCTGGATGTGCAGGGAGGAAGGAAAGAGAAAACAGGACCTGAAGACTTACACCCATGTGAACATCAGGATGAGCCCTACTACCTTTTCAGATATCCAGATCCAGAGCAGAGAGGTAGGGAAACCAGTGTCAGCTACAGTGGTTCCTGGAAGATGTACAAGTGCCAGGAGTGATCTGAGCTGCCACACTGGGAGCTGCTGCCTTTGGAAAGGAATCAGTGAGGCAGGCAGAGGGTGCCATGGCTGCATCTGACTGCACCTGGTTTTGCAGAGGTGACTGATAGGGGAATCACCCCCTTCCCTACTCAGAGCACCAAGACTCCAAGACTCCATACATGATGATTCCTGTCTACTTCTACTAGTTAAATATACAGGCCCTTACATGAAATGGAGACTGAGGGGTTTTCTTTGTTTTTTTTGTTTTTTTGTTTTTTTTTTTTTTTTTTTTTTTTTTTTTGGAGAGAGAGAGAGAGAGAGAGAAAGAAACTGATATGGAAAACAACAACTAGCATCTCAGACAGGGTGACATAACCCAGAGCCCAGGTACCCTTCTCATTCACCCTCCGCCACTGTGGTCCATAGGAGTGACAACTGGATGCTCACTGCCCATCTCTGCCCTGACTTAACACAAATCCTTTTATGCAGCTTCGTGGGGGAATTTTAGCACAAATTGACATAAGGTCGACTTCTATTTCCTAGGGATACGTTTTAATTAATAACATCACGTCAGTGCAGTGTCATGACTGCATAGAACAGGACATCTCAGTGTCCTGGGAGGCTGCAGTGCTGAAGTACATGTTTTCACGTCCTTTCCCCACTGTCCTTCCACCTGCCACTCACTGCAGGCAGGATGGTCAGAGCTGCTCTAGGAAGCTGTCTTGAGGCCATTGGCATGAACTCTGAACTTGGTGCCCTGTTTCCTGGGCCTTGCAGCCGGGACTTTCTCTTTTATGATATACAGCTAAAGTCCCTGGGATGAGAGAAGGGAAGCCTCACCTAGGAGACCATGAGCTCCCGTGACCTAAGTCTATGATGATGATGCAGAGTAGGGGGCTTAGTGTCCTCATTGCCCAGGGCCTTGTGCAGAGCAGCTGGCGCAGCATTGAGGGTCTGGGATCTGGCCCCCACATGGAAGTGCTCGCAGGCGTCTATGTGGACGAAGCACCTTGCTGGACATGAGTCACATTATTCTGCATTAGCTCTTCCTAGGGAAGGTGGAGTGGGGAGCTGTGCCCAGACTTCCCATCCTCCCTCCCCTGTGTCTATTCCCTCTCATTCTCTCTACCCTCAGTGTGCAGGGATGCAGGCTGCCCTATCCCAGGACCCCATAGAAACAATGACCTGCAGTTGCTTACACCTTGGGTTTAGGGTAAACCGGGTAAGGATCATCTCTGCTCAGCCCAGAGACCCTGGCCACCCACATGTCCTACAGAGGAAGGACGTGTACCCTAGCCATGTATCCTCTGTACTAAGTTCATTGAAAATGTTTGATACAGATGCATACTTATATAATATTATTCATATAAATACATTCAGTAGTGTCTGGCTGAGAGCAAACACTCAATAAATTTTATTTTATTTATTTTTCATTCAATTTATGTTTATTTTATACATAGGAGGGTTTTACCTGCATGTATGTAAGTGCAACATACATGTGCTTGGTGCCAGCAGAAGCTGGAAGAGGCCATCAGATCCCCTGGAACTGGAGTTAAGGATGGATGTGAGCTTCCATGTGGGTGCTAGGAACCAAATCCAGGTCCTCTGGAAGAATAGTAAATCCTCCTAACCACTGAGCCATTTTTCCAGCCCCCTCAATAAATTTTAGATACTTTTTCACTGATGTCATATATGACATTGGTTTACAACCTGGCCCAGGAATTCATTAGTAGTCCTAGCATTGAGGTGTGGGGTCTGTCCCTGCTTCTTGATTCTGGGTGCATGTGACTATATCAGCTCAGGGAGAAAGCGAGGTGGTGACCATCAAGACAGGGTCAGGAAAAGCTCCAAAGCTCCTTACTAAACCTTGGAGCCATCCTGTGAGTTCACCTTCCCAAAGCCATAGGACCGCATGAAGATACCAGCAGGTCCTATCCAGATTGGCCTTCTGCCTGTGACAGCAGCACATGGCTACAGCCTCCTGGACCTGTCCGAGGAGCCAAGGCAGTTTCCAGGAGCAGAGGGTGTTGGCTCATCTTTGTGGCAGCAATGACCTGGGATGAGGCCACAGCCTCATAACAATGTGCAAAGAAAAGTCCTATCTCCTGTCCACCCTAGAGAGGAGGGGCCAAGAGACAAAAGCATGGTCAGTCATTCCTTCTCACTCTGTCTGACACTGCTGTCCACATTCATTGGTCAACACAGGACACGCTAGGAAGCAGTAAGCACAGTGGTTGCTTCACAAAGGACCAGGTTCTCTTTGAGTTATTCACATCTGCCCCTCTGCACTTGGACTTAGGGGTTCAAGTGACTCAGGTCAGGATGGTACCACCAGAAGCATATGTGGCCAACTCTGACACTCAGGGATTGCTCTAACATCACTCTTATCTCTGACTCCCTTGAACCGGGTAAGGATCATATGGAACTTCATATGTAGGCTATCGTTGCAGCTATACACAGTGACCACCTGTTCCCACTCTGAGGAGGGATTCAGTTAGTGCAGGAGGGGCCTGTACCTTGGAGTCTTAAATGTTATTCAAGTACTCCAAACAACTGCTGGACTGCATGCCAGTTAGATTCCTCTCAGCTCATTTTTCCTGAGACATCTATGCATAGTGGCAGGCGAGATGGTCTTGTCATGTTTCCACTGGACAAGCCAATGGTGCCAAGTGTCTCCTCAAATTTATACCTCTCATACCCTGCCTCTCTTTCAAGGGTAGATAATAGTAGATGATAACCCAGAAAAGCAAAAGCAAATGAAAAAACTCAGCTGAAGGGTTGATGGGTCAATGGACTTCAGTGGGAATTTCATGAAGCTCTGCAGGTTTGTTTGTATCAGGAATCCCCAGGTCTTCAACCCCAGCTCCAGCATCGCTGTCCTCCAAGTGCCTTTGAGTTCACTCTCAAAAGTCGCTGCCACTCGCTTCCAACCTAAGAGGTCCTGAACCTATCCCTTCACTGACTTCTCTTTCCCTTACTGAGTCCCATTTCTCCACAAGCACTTTCTCCTCTGCCTCCTTCAGTGAATCCACAGTATCCTTTGTAGGGTAGGAAACTCCAGCTTACTCCAGACTTCCCCACTTGCAGCTAGATGCTCAGATCCCAGTGCTTCCTAGAACAGACTGCCCTTTTAAGGATCCATTGATCCTGAACAGTGGCGTCTGTCTTTTACCTAAATCTAGATTGCTCACAAACTGACCAAGAGAACTGACCACACTTCCTAGATGGCCACCAATAGGCAGGGGTGCTGAGGAGTGTGTGCCCACGGCCCTGTGCTTCAGTGACTGTCACACTAATCATGGCAGAGGCACCATCTTCACACCCCCATAAAGAGGCCGACTTATAGTCACTGAGGATCCCACTTTCTCATAGCAACAACCTGCTTCCTGGGCAAATCCACCTCTTCCTGCCCCTTGTGTCTGGGCCAGGGCCTGGAACACTGACCTTGGCTCTTCCAGTCAAGGTGCCCATCCAGTTCAGCCTTAGTGACTGTCCTGGGGTGGTACCTGACCCAAGTCGTACTCTCAAAATTCTCCAATCGGCCAGAACAGCTCATTAATTCAAAAAGTGCAAAAACAGCCATGCAACCAAAGAAGATAACTCATATCCAGAATACATAAAGAACTATTAAAAATCAATAAGAAAACCACTTAGTTAAGCTTTTTTAGAAAGATACTCACTTAGGCTGGATGGGGTGGCATATGCCTTTAGTACCAGTACTCAGGAGGCAGAGGCAGGCAGATCTCTGTGAGTTCAAGGCCAGCCTGATCTATGTAGTGAGTTCCAGGCCAGCTGGAGCTACAGGAAAACCCTGTCTCAAAAAAACACCAAAAAAAAAAAAAAAAGAAAAAAATAAAAGATGTTCACTTAGAAAATGAAGAAAAATAATCCAATTTTTAAATTAACCTAGTTTCATTTTAAAACTACAACCCAATTTAAAATTGTAAAAGGTCTCAATAGGCATATCTCTCAAGGAGATGTGCAAAACATAGTAGCACATACAAAAAGCTTAACACCAGCATGTTTAGGATAAGGTAACCAGTGTGGTTTCCCACTTTATACTTGTGACACAGATGTTATTGAAAAGAGAGAAGTTGGGGACTGAACCTTCCTGCTCAGCTGGAGGAATGGCAGAAGGGCTTTGGAAAACTGCTTGGCACATCTTCAAAATGCCAATCAGAGAGTCTCCATGAGCCTAGTAAGTCTACCCCTGGTTATATCTCTTAGAGAAATGATAAAGCAACTACACCCAAAAATGTGTACATGAGTGTTTAGAGCAGCATTATTCACAATAACAAGATGAAACCTTCATCGATTCATAAATACATAAATTGGATGGAAAACATCCATAAAACAAAATGGTATTGAGCAATTTAAAAAATTACAGAGATACTGCGTGGCTGCTTCTGCACCACCACAGCAATGAAAATGACACAAAGGTGCATGAATTTTCTGTTTTCCTAGTGAATATAGAAGTCATGTTTGAGAGCTCTTATGTTCTATTGTGTCTGTAAAGGCAATGTACAAGCTTTAACTAAAAATACTTCATTGGGGCTAGTGAGATGGCTCGGCAGGTGAAGGCATTTGTCACCAATAGGATGACCCAAGTTCAATCCCTGGGACCCAAATGGTAGAAGGATAGAACTGACTCCCACAAATCACTCTCTGACCTCCACATGCGCATTCGTGCCCACACATAAATAAATGTAAGGGACTAAATCCCTAATAAGCAAACAGGATCACTGACAAATAGTAAAGATAGCACACTTCTGTCTTCCTGGTCTCTGGCAGGAAGGCCTTATTATGTGCAAAACATAATAGTACATACAA